TTGTTTACTTCTCTATATGGTTTATATGTGTTGTTATTTATATTGAATGTTATATCTCAGCAGATTACTATTTTTAGATTAGATTTAATATCTGTTTTAAATCCTAATCTATTGAATGTTTTTATGATCTGTTTTCTTAATTTTTTTTTCTAGTTCAATTTCTAATGATTATATATATATATATATATATATATATATATATATATATATATATATATATATATATATATGTGTGTGTGTGATTGTGTTTTGTGTGTGTTTGTATATGAGTGAAATTGGTTGTGAATGCGATTATATCTATATATATATATATATATATATATATATATATATATATATATATATGTGTGTGTGTGTGTGTGTGTGTGTGTGTGTGTGTGTGTGCGTAGATGCGCAATACAGCATTAGTTTTCTTATTTAAAGAAACTGCTTTTATATTTCCCTCTTGATATTCAAATATAGAGATCAATAAAAATAAAGAAGCTCACGTTAAACATAGATACATTTAATTATATGAATAATAAATCCGTTATTTTTGTCCAGCCGATCTGGTATTGTTCCAGGCACTTAAAAGGAATCCATATTTAAAATAAATAAATTCTCTTGAACTTTGATTAATGTCGGATCAGATTCGGATTGAATGTGTATCACAAAAGAATGTGGTGAACAGGTGAAGCTTTTAGAACATTGTAAGAGGAAGAGAAAGAGATAGGGGAGAAAGAGGAAGAAGGGAAATAGAGAGGGGGGGAAAGAGAAAGCGTGGAAAGAAACATAGAGGGGGGGGAGAAAGAGAAAAAGGGAAAGGGGAAAGAGACGGATAAGTAGACCAACGGAAAGAAAGCGGAAGCAAGAGAGATTTTTAAAAAGATATTTTTGTTCTTTAATCCCGAGATGAAAATATAGAAGTTTTAATGAAACTACTGCGAATTTTTCGAGGAGGCACGGCGGAGTAATGGATAGCGACTCGGATTAAGGAATTCCAGTCGAATCCGTTACTTACATTAGTACCCTTCGGAAAGGTATGAATCCTCCTCTTCTCCCCGCCCCCCAGCTATGGGTAAAATAGCAGGACAGTCCGGGTTCTATTGCCTTGGATGACCAAAGATCTACCGTAGAAAGAAATGGCAACCTACTGCGGGAAAAAATCTGTCTCGTCAGTCATGTATCGAAAGATACATCATCATCTAAGCGTATATCACGCATGGCACATAACTGATTACGAATTACTGCAATTTAAGAATCTTATATTTGTCGACGTTGTTTTGCAACTTATAGAGATTTAAAACTGTTGCAACTACAAAAATTGTTTCGTTATATAATTTTGTGACATTAATTTAAAGACAGACAAATTACCAAAAGGACAACGAAGATGATTAACAACAGCAACAATAATAATAATAATAATAATAATAATAATAATACCATATGATAATAATCTATGTGTATTTATTTATATACTTCATGTGTATTTATTCATATATTTCATATCCCATCTGAGTGGGAAGGGAAGTAAATCAATTTAAGTTAGTAAATTTATGGGAGATTACTTCCCTTAGCCGTTTTAATAATCTATACAAATAAAATATTTATCTGCATTTAGACAAAATTACTTCCCGAGCAAAATGAACGGTTTAATTAATCAGTTCCTTCACTGTTAAGTTTCTTCGATTGCAATCTTATTTGTTCAAGTCTTTCATGTGAGACACTTTCATACCTTTATCTATTAAGTGATCGTGTTGCTTCAACTTTGTTCTTTTGTTGCTAATCATTTTTCTTCCAAGAGAGATGTTTCCATTTCACTGTTATATTTAGCACATAACATTTTTAACATGAAAGGATATTGAGCAAAAAGTGATTTATATAATACCAGGAGTGATGTTCAGTAATCAATGAATCGTAGATATCATTGAACCTCTAAAAAATATAAAGGGGTTCGATTAATTAAACGGTTCATTGACTTCCATTTTAGTTGAGAATTCTTTATCATCGATTTATTGAATATCAATTCGTTATTTCAAGACTTTTGATTCATTGCAAAAACTTATAAAACCTAACAATTTCCGTCATTTTTGACGGCATGGGTACACTAGTATAGGGTGGCCACTGAAAAACTTGTTCGTTTTCAATCTTTTTATTTTATTTTATTTTTTTGCAGATTATAGAGGATCCCTTGGAGATTAAAATGGATCCGGATGATGTCCATCAGCGAGTAAAACTCATTCCTAATAAAAGACCAATCATTCAAAGCCAGAGAAAATATACCGGCAATATTTTAATTTCAAAGTATCTCATAACGATAAAATGATTCGGAGCCTAATCGCCCGGTTTGAACCGGATCAGTCGGAAATCTTCCGGGAAGAGGTCCTAAGTGCACTGTACGCACTGACGTAGCGTTGGAAGCTATACGACAGAGTGTCTTTGACGATCCATCAGTTTATCGTCACTCTGCTCAACGAGGAATCGCCAGAATATCGCTTCAGAAGATTCTGTAACTGGATTTAAAATTGTTTCCATACAAAATTCAAATACTACAAATTATACTACCCCAAGATATTCATGTGTCTGTAAAAGTTATTTTTTATATCATTCAGCCTTTCACTGGCAACTCTCTAGTAGTACTACTACTACTACTACTACTAGTAGTAGTAGTAGTAGTAGTAATAATAATATGAAAATGAGCCGTGGAATACAATAGAAAAAGATGAACCTCTTATTCTCTGGGACATGTCAATCCAAATGGATTTCTTTATCCGTTTGGATTGACATTAAGGTTGACAGAACTATTATAGTAATGAAGAACATGAAAAAGGACCTTTATTGATTTGTCTGTCCGCACCGAAAGAAACATCACCTTGAAAAGCTCTCCAAATATAAATACCTAGATATAGAAATAGAGAGAATATGGTAGATGAAGGCCATAACAATATCAGTTGTAATAGGTGCTCTCGGTTTGGTCAACGAAGAGGTGGAAAATAAAACAAAATTCTTGGCAACATAAAAATCTAAGACGTCTAGAATAGCGACCATTTCAGAACTGTTCATATTTTAAGTAGAACTTTATCCATCAAATATAACCATCACTTTCATGGTAACTCAGGTCCAAGTGATGAACTCGGCTTTATGTAAGAAATAAGCAAGGCATTAAGGAAAACCCTGAATCATAATAATAATAATAATAATGATAACAATGAGAAGAAGAAGAAGAAGAAGAAGAAGAAGAAGAAGATGTAATTGAAGATAATAATGAAGGTGATGTAGAACGAGAAGAGGAATGTAGCTAAGAATGATGAATTTCGTCTTCATCTTCCTTTTCTACGAAGGAAGATGATGATTAGTTGTTCATCGAAAGAGACCAGGACACTTACATAAAATTGCCCCCCCCTACTTCACTTCTACAGCTGTTGTGTCGCTGGGTGTGCTTATTTGTGTCAAATACGAACGAACGCACAATTCGAGACTTTATACAAAATGTATAAGAATAGATGTAAATAATGACCAGTGCTTGATTAATAGTTGTTTTAGTAACCCACCTCCTCAACCCCAGAGGAGCACTGGTGGGAGTGCCAGTTTAGTCGCCGGCAACTCGACCCTGAAGCAGGTATTACTGGATTACAGGTTACCAGTAGCAGATCTTGTGACCTGACCTGACCTATTCGTACGGGACGTGCACAGTCTACAGCCGACATGCTAAACAGCTCGATGCCTTCTACATTAGATGCATTAGAACCCTGCTCCGTATCAAGTGGCAGGACAGAGTCCCAAACACTGAAGTGTTCCAGCGTGCTGGGATGGAGAGCATTCATGCCATCCTACTGCACTATCAGCTCCGGTGGACTGGTCACGTCCGCCGCATGGACGACTGTCGCCTCCCAAAGAGATTGCACAGTGGCGAGCTATCCACGGACAAAGACCTCATACGACAGACCAAAGAAACATTACAAAGACACACTCAAGGGGTCACTCAAGCAGTATGGCATTCCCTATTCCACCTGGGAAGAGTCTGCTGAAGACCGTGCCATCTGGTGCTCTCTTGTAAGGTCTGGAGTGTATTTAGGGACAAAGAACAGAGACGCCAGGAAAGGAAAGATCAAGAGCTGAATCAGGCTGGGAGGCAATCTCAACCTGGTTCAGCTCACAACGCACCATGTCACAACTGTAATATATTTTTCAGTGTGAAGACTGAACTCATCAGTCATCTCCGTACATGGATGACCGAAATGTTTTGTCGAAAGCAAAAAACAAATTCTTATACAAATAGAATGTGGATCATAGTAATATAATTTGGTATTGAGTAAAGACGTGAAACAATACAACGAATTGAACTCCCCAATCAGGAAATCATTATGAAATTGAACGCAAAAGATGACTATAAGTATTTAGGCATTTTAGAAGCTGATTCCACTAAGTGGGAAAATATGAATGTTATCAAATCAAATTCTGAAAGATTAATCGAAATCATAAGGAAATAATCTCGACATCGAATAATTTCCGTGTAGAATTGAGGATTTCATTTTTTTTAACTGGTTTTCTTTTCGTTTTTCTTTCTTATTTCTTAGGTTTCCTTCGCCACATCCACTTGTTTAGTTCCTCTTCTAAGTCGTTTTCCCCAATTTCTTTTCGCTTAATATTATTAGATAAATTTCTCGGTGAGAAATCGTAATTGATTCCAGCACAAAAGGTTCGGGGGTTCGAGTAGATATTAAAATCTGATCCTAAATAGAAAAAATAATGGTATTAACAAACAGGATAATAGTATGGACTTATGGTGATAATAATGATGATGACGAAGAAGAAGAGGAAGAAGAAGAAGAAGAAGAAGAAGAAGAAAAGTGGAGATAAAGAAATGAGAAGTTGGAGAAAGAGTGTAGTGGTATAAAGTTAAAGAAAGCACAACAGATGAGAATAATGGATGCTGAATTTCAAGATGATACGAGAGAAGGGAAAAAGAAGGAAGATTTTTTTTTTAAAAGACAAGATGAAAACGAAAGATGTTTAAAGGGTCAAGGTGCAGAAAGAAAAATGCGAGTGGGAGAAAGAAAGAGAAAAAGGAAGAAAAATGCGAGTGGGAGAAAGAAAGAGAAAAAGGAAGAAAAATGCGAATGGGAGAAAGAAAGAGAAAAAGGAAGAAAAATGCGAGTGGGAGAAAGAAAGAGAAAAAGGAAGAAAAATGCGAGTGGGAGAAAGAAAGAAAAAAGGAAGAAAAAATGCGAGGGGAAAGAAAAGAAAAGGAAGAAAAAATGCGAGTGGGAGAAAGAAAGAGAAAAGGAAGAAAAATGCGAATGGGAGAAAGAAAGAAAAAAGAAAAAATGCGAGTGGGAGAAAGAAAGAGAAAAAGGAAAAAAATGCGAGTGGAGAAAGAAAGAGAAAAGGAAGAAAATGCGAATGGGAGAAAGAAAGAGAAAAAGGAAGAAAAATGCGAGTGGGAGAAAGAAAGAAAAAGGAAGAAAATGCGAATGGGGAAAAAAAAAGAAAAAGGAAGAAAAAATGCGAGTGGGAGAAAGAAAGAGAAAAAGGAAGAAAATGCGAGGGGAGAAAGAAAGAGAAAAAAAAGAAAAAATGCGAGTGAGGGAGAAAGAAAGAAAAAAGAAAAAATGTGGGGAGAAAGAAAAGAGAAAAAGGAAGAAAATGCGAGTGGGAGAAAGAAAGAGAAAAAGGAAGAAAATGCGAGTGGGAGAAAGAAAAAGAGAAAAGGAAGAAAAATGCGAATGGGAGAAAAAAAAGAAAAAAGGAAGAAAAAAATTCGAATGGGGAAAAAGAAAAAGGAAGAAAAGGAATGGGAGAAAGAAAAAAAAGGAAGAAAATGCGAATGGGAGAAAGAAAGAGAAAAGGAAGAAAAATGCGAATGGGAGAAAGAAAGAGAAAAGGAAGAAAAATGCGAATGGGAGAAAGAAAGAGAAAAAGGAAGAAAAATGCGAGTGGAGAAAGAAAGAGAAAATGGAAGAAAGAAAGAAAAAAAAGGAAGAAAATGCGAATGGGAGAAAGAAAAGAGAAAAGGAAGAAAAATGCGAATGGGAGAAAGAAAAGAAAAAGGAAGAAAAATGCGAATGGGAGAAAGAAAGAGAAAAAGGAAGAAAAATGCGAATGGGAGAAAGAAAGAGAAAAAGGAAGAAAAATGCGAATGGGAGAAAGAAAGAGAAAAAGGAAGAAAAATGCGAGTGGGAGAAAGAAAGAGAAAAGGAAGAAAAAATGAATGGGAGAAAGAAAGAAAAAAGGAAGAAAATGCGAATAGGAGAAAGAAAGAAAAGGAAGAAAAATTCGAATGGGAGAAAGAAAGAGAAAAAGGAAGAAAAATGCGAGTGGGAGAAAGAAAGAGAAAAAGGAAGAAAAATGCGAGTGGGAGAAAGAAAGAGAAAAAGGAAGAAAAATGCGAATGGGAGAAAGAAAGAGAAAAAGGAAGAAAAATGCGAGTGGGAGAAAAAAGAAAAAAAGGAAGAAAATGCGAATGGGAGAAAGAAAAAGAAAAGGAAGAAAAATGCGAATGGGAGAAAGAAAGAAAAAAAGGAAGAAAAAATGCGAGTGGGAGAAAGAAAGAGAAAAGGAAGAAAAAGAATGGGAGAAAGAAAAGAAAAAGGAAGAAAAATGCGAATGGGAGAAAGAAAGAGAAAAAAAGGAAGAAAAATGCGAGGGGAGAAAAAAAGAGAAAAGGAAGAAAAATGCGAATGGGAGAAAGAAGAGAAAAAGGAAGAAAAAATGCGAATGGGAGAAAGAAAGAAAAAAGGAAGAAAAAAGTGGGAGAAAGAAAGAGAAAAAGGAAGAAAAATGCGAGTGGAGAAAGAAAAGAAAAGGAAAAAAAAGTGGGAGAAAGAAAGAAAAAGGAAGAAAAGGGAGTGGAAAGAAAGAAAAGAAAAAGGAAGAAAAATGCGAATGGGAGAAAGAAAGAGAAAAAGGAAGAAAAATGCGAGTGGGAGAAAGAAAGAGAAAAAGGAAGAAAAATGCGAGTGGGAGAAAGAAAGAGAAAAAGGAAGAAAAATGCGAGTGGGAGAAAGAAAGAGAAAAAGGAAGAAAAATGCGAGTGGGAGAAAGAAAGAGAAAAAGGAAGAAAAATGCGAATGGGAGAGTGAAATAAATAAAAATGGAAGTGAAAGAAAGAAAGAAAGAGAGAGAGAGAGAGAGAGAGAGAAAGAAAAAATGTAAGTGGGAGCGAAGAAGAAAGTCAGAAAAAGAGGAGAACAAATTTGAAGATGAAACCGAATCAGTAGAAGAAAATGGCGAAGAGGAAATTCGGACTTAAAGAAAGAATAGAAACGAGAAAAGAATGGAAGAAAGGATAGGAGAAAATCAAAAGTAGCCAATTGTAAAATAGACGAAGAAGAAGTCGAAAAAGTGAATAAGAAACTGATGAAGAAGAAAACGGGAGTGATTTGGAGAACAGACAAAACAATGACGCGAAAATAAAGCAGAATGAAAATTTGATGAATAGTAAAGAAGAAGAAGAAGAAGAAGAAGAAGAAGAAGAAGATGAAGAAGAAGAAGAAGAAAAGAAAAGTGATGAGGAAGGAAAAAATGAGAGAAAAAACTTGAAGAAGAAGGAAGAGATGAAAACAGGAACACGAAGAGGATGAAAAAGAGAGAGAGAGAGAGAGAGAGAGAGATGAAAAAGAGAAAGAGAGAAATAGAAAGAATAAAGGAGTCTGAAAGAATTGAAAAGGGAGAAAGATACAGAAGAAAGTGGACAATAAAAAAGAAAATGCATGCATCACGTAAAAATCACCTTAGCAAACAATTAAATTTATTAACGTCATCTCGGAAACATCGGCAGCTTTTGAAAAAAACACTTCGGGTATCTTCTACGCCTAATGAATTTACTTTGCGACAAATGCAATAATTGTGAACAGGTGCAATATTTGTTGCTTCCGGCACACGTCTGCATGGGCATGCGCAGTTAAGAGTGTAGTCAGATATAGTACTTGGCTATCGCACGTTTTACAATGAACTGGCCAGTTGTGACAGGGTATATGTGTAAATTAAGCGATACTTGTCTAAGCTTATTCGTTTCTTTCTTTCTTTCTTTCTTTCTTTATTTCTCTCTCTCTCTCTCTCTCTCTATCTATCTATCTATCTATCTAATGTGTACGCATTTATCCTCTTTGCTTCGTTTTATCTTCTTATGTCTCTCGGTCTATTCTTCTAACTGGCGATCACTTTCATTTTGTCTTTCTATGCTTGAACTTATGGGCCAACTCCCCTCTTTCTCAAGTAATGGGTCCTCTCTCTCTCTCTCTCTCTCTCACATACTCTATATATATATATATATATATATATACTGAAGAAATTTGACAAATGGCAAAGCGTTTCATTAAAAGTATATTTGATTACGCGTTTCACCTTTCTAGGCATCATCAGAGCCCAAAACGAAAGAAATGTGTGTGTGTGTGTGTGTGTGGGGGCGTGTGTATTTATGTGTATGCTTAAATAGTAAATCATTACTACTTTTTTCCATAATTCTGTAAATGAGACGAGGATTTGCCTTTAATTCGATAAAGAGAATCTGGAAAATATATTTTAATAACTTATAAAGAAAAAGATACAGAATTTTAAAAAAGTCTCGTTTTCATTCTTTTTCTTTCATCACGAGAAACAATAGCTTAGTGAAAAATTACTAATGATTCATTATTTAAGCATAGATACAAATATACAAACGCACATTTATTTGTTTCCTGTTTGGATCTGATGAAGCCTAGAAAGGCGAAACGCGTTATCAAATCTAGTTTCAATGAAACATTTTTCAAATTTCTTCAAAACTTTGTCAAAATTCTATATCCTATTTTAAATACACACACACACACACACACACACACACACACACACACATATATATATATATATATATATAGGTACCTTCAAAGAAAAGCGATACGTAAGGTGATATTGCGAAAAAGCAGGGGCGTACATTAATATTCGGATAATATTCAATAGCGACATTCTCGATTATTTTCCTTCTGAATGAATTAAAATCAAGATTGTGGTTGAATTTATTTCTAAGTATGACTAGTGCATTTGTTAAATTGTTATCTATGAGGTCTCTTTTGTGCACATAGATGCGTCTTTTTAAATTTCTACACGTTTCTCCAATGTATTGTGAGAAACAGTTTTTGACAATTTATTCTATATATGCTTCAGAAATATTATTGCTATGGGTGTTTGTATATCTGATTATAACCATAATAATTTTAGAAGTGTTTGTGGTTATTTGGATGTTGTTTAGATGGGTTAGGTTATTCTGGACAGTGGACGTTACAGAGTTGGTCAGTATTATTATGCATCTGTTTTTGTATAATTTATTATTATGGATGATGTTATTTTTGTTGCGGTTGTATATTTTGTAGACCTTTCTTCTTGCGTTGTGGATGAAATAATATGGGTATTGTAGGTTTTTGAATGTGTTTTCTATGTATGTTTCTTATTTAGGTAAATATTGGGGGCTGCAAATTCTTAATGCTCTCAAATAGGAACATATAATAATTCCAGATTTAATTTTAGAAGAGTGATTTGAGTAGAAACTGACCAGGTCATTTTTGTTGGTAGCTTTTCTATAAACGTCAAAATTAAGTTCGTTATTGTTTCTGTGTAACATGATATCTACGAAGGGAAGAGTGTAGTTGGTTTGTTTCTGTAGGTTCAACGTTGTTAATTTGGTTGACCAGATCTGTTAAATTAGTATTTTGTGGATATATTAGTAGTGTGTCGTCTGTGTATCTGAAATAGGAAAAGTTTGGGGGTAGAATGTTTTTGAATGGGTCATTTTCTAGAAACTCTAAAAATAGACAAGCAAGAACGCTTTTGAGATGAGATCCCATAAGACATTGTATAAATTATAATAGCTGTCCACTCGTATTCGAGGATACCCGTCTACTACTACTTGCTCAGGTACATTTGTGTGTTGCCTACCTGTGGTTTATACTGCAACTATGCAGAGCAGACCTTAGTTACAGTTTCTGGGAAAGAGCGTGTTATCTAGCGTGATCAACAATCTGAACACGGCCAGCACACTCAAACCCTCGGTCACGATGACTTGTGACTTCGTGCTAGCACAGCTATCGACGGCCTACAAGAGTCCCGTCTACCCAATTTCACTCACGTGATATGGTTTTCAGGCACTTTCCAAAGGTACCGCACGCTGGGATCGACCTCGATACAATCCGATAACATCAGGAAGCTGTCTTCTAGACAAATCGAACATGGTGAAATTCGAACCCGGGTCTCATGGTCAGAAAGCGAACGTTATATATATATATATATATATATATATATATATATATATATATATATATATATATATATATATATATATATATATATATATATATATATATATATATATATATATATATATATATATATATATATATATATATATATATATATATATATATATATATATATATATATATATATATATATATATATATATATATATATATATATATATATATGCATGTATGTGTGTGTGTGTGTTGAGGTGTTGGAGCGTAGCATATTTAGGCTGCAAGAACTTTGTTAATCCATTAATATATATATCTGTATGTATGATATATATATATATATATATATATATATATGTGTGTGTGTGTGTGTGTGTGTACATTAATGCATATAGAGACTAATTAATACACATATTTACAAATCTATTATTAATACTTAATAATAATAATAATAATAATAATAATAATAATAATAATAATATATATATATATATATATATATATATATATATATATATATATATATATAAAATAAATTTTTTTTTTTAATCATATCTTAATTCTTACAATTAATAACGGGGATTATCGTCTTCATTAAGCGGTTACATCCAACCGACCAAATTGTGTGTTATAAGTTGTTCATCCAAATCCATATTGTAAATAAATTGTCCAATGTTCATTTTTTAATCTGGTATTGTTTGAGCCCTTTTGTCGATCTTAGCTATTCTTAAACGTTGTTATTATTGTAGACAAATTTTTCTTTGTTTAACAATCCTGTCTATCATTTTGACAACATTTATATGAGACGTTGTGCTAGTCAAATGCAGTGTAACCCGGATATAAGAGACCCGGATATAAGACAAAACCGGATATAAGAGAGATTTTCTCTGGTCTCAAATTAGAGCCTGTGTTAATGTATATAAAATAGACCAAACATGGATATAAGAGAAACCCGGATATAAGAGACTTCTTCTCCGGTCCCGAGAACTCTCTTATATCCGGGTTACACTGTAGATGTGTCTGTGGTCTATGATTTTTGGTCTTATTTATAAATAAAACTTTGTTACATTTTATTTGCGTCGGAAAAGTTGACCCCTCCACCAAAGTTATTATCTGTACTTTTAATAAAGATAGATATTATGATCTGAAAGTCCGACTCTCTCAGGAACAGCTCAAAAATTAGTAATTATTTGAGTGCGTCGTTAAATGCACACACGTACACATGCGCATAATTATTCACATTGACACATCCATGACACACATGTATAAATATATACTAGATCGTTCATTTACATATGTAAAAGAACGAACAGGAAATATATGGTAAGCTTCTGGCGGGTTTCACCTGTTGTCGAATAAGTCGTTTGATGTCAGGTGGAAAAGTGAAAATATTCGGCATATTACGCTCAATGACATACGTTCGTGTAGATAAGTTTACTTTAAAAATATCTTGTGTCGTGTTTTTGCAGGTGAATGTTTTGAGAAGATACGTTTCTTCTTTCAAGAAATAATGAAATCAAAATACGAAGGAATAAATGAAGAAGTTAACGAATGAAAAGAAAAGTGTGCTAACGAAGAAAAAAGAAAGAATATCATAGATGGCAAGATCAAATAAAAGAATGAAAAAGAAAATGGAAAAAAAATGGAACGAAAAATAAGGAAGGAAAATGTCAAGGTAGTGTTAAAGGAAAGAGAAAAAGACGAAAGAAAAGAATAAGTTAAAGATGGAAGTAAAATGCAAAAAACTTTCTAAAAGCAAAGGAAACGAACGAAAGGAAGAAAGAAAGAATAAAGGAAAATTCTTGGAAAGCTCGAAAAATCCAAAACGTTTATCTTTTGGGAATCAAGTGTCCAAAACGATGTCATTTCTAAAGAATCTCTGTGCGATTTGATGTCTAGAAACTAAAGTCACACTAACTTCAACACATGACAATATTTTCTTTTTTTTCAATACTATTTCTTTTTATTTCCTTTCCAATTTTCAGTTGTCATTCGAGGATGGGGGAATCTCTCTATTGGAAAGAGCATTGCGACACGTGCGCTCGACTTATAGGTGCAATAGTTACATAAATAAAAAGTTGGTTTAGGTGTTAGCGGGTGGCTGGAAGCCGAGATAGCAAAGAAAGGCTTGAATTTGTAAAGACGAAAGGTGATAAGGAAGTCGTAAAAAAAGTAAGTACGCATATCTTTGCAAATGAATGAAATGATAATAAGATATTGGTAAAAAAAATATGGAAAGCAAGTTCACGTCTTTAAAGGTTGTAATGCTGAGAGAAAGACTGTGACACTATAAAGTTTGAAAGGCATTTTTAATCATCTCTCAAAATATAGTCTTTATTTGAAATTGGTTAGCAACTGTTGAGAATAGCTAGACAGATGAATATTGGCTACGCTTAGTTTATTTTGATGCAAGGTATCTCTTTTAGTCCGAACTCATTATCAAACAATATAGCATGTGTAAATTGCTTGCTCTCTCTCTGTCTCTGTCTCTGTCTGTCTGTCTGTCTGTCTCTCTATCTCTCTCTCTCTATCTCTCTCTAGTGGTTTGTAACACCCTATTTATCATATCTCAGTTGCGTCTCTGTACTTGGGCAGAGTGCACTGAGGGGCAACTCTGTCAAAGGACAGAGTCGTAACTGAGGAAAATTATACTGAGAGGTGCCTGGAGAGCAGCTGCCTGAGGCCGGTCCCTCTCATTGCACCCAGAGAGAGGGATCGGTGCACGAGGCTCGGAGAAATTTTGTTCCCAAAACCCGATGTGACCATTAACACACACTATATAAATATGTATATAGATAGAAACGCTTATGATAAGAAATGGTATTTTAACGCACAGTGACTTTTATATGACAAAACTCATCATTCGTATTCTGATGAATAGGGCGCGCAGGAGAATCAGGCTAGAGATAGGACAAGAACAGTGCGGGTTCGTTAAATACACCGGGACAAGGAACGTGATATTCATGCTCAGAATGTTATCAGAAAGAGCGATACAAATGCAGAAGGACGTGTATCTATGCAAAGGCCTTCGACAAATTACGCCACAAGGATCTGGTGGAACTGCTCAGCAACCTTGATATATTCCGGAGGGGATATCAGAATAATGAAGAACCTATACTGGCAGCAAACGGCATGCGTGTGCATAAGGAACGAGTTCAGTGACTCTACGAAAATAGAAAGAGGCGTAAGGCAAGGATGCGTCTTCTCACCCGACCTGTTCAACCTATACAGTGAAGCAATTCTCAGAGAATTGGAAAGCCTAGCGGGATTTAGCATTAGAGGCCATAATCTTAACAATATAAGATACGCAGATGACACAGTACTGATAGTAGACACGGAAAAGAAATTACAAAATCTCTTACAGAAGTTAGCAACTGAGAGTGAGAAGAAAGGACTAAGCATGAACTACAAGAAGACAGATTGCATGGTCATCGGTAAGAGAAAGAACCCGAAATTCGATTTACAGGTCGGGAACACTAAAATCAAGCAGACGCAGAAGTTTAAATATCTGGGAAACGTCTTGACAGAAGGCGGTAAATGCGACACTGAGATCCTTAGATTTACTGCGATGGCCAAGGACATATTCCAAAGGCTAAGCAGAGTATTGCGAGACAGGAGAAAGTTTTATTGCAAATGGCATATTTTCATTTCTTCACAAGGATGACAAATAAATTTAAACAGGTCTTACCAAAATCACTCAGCCTGTCATATCTGAAGCCCATAAAAGATGATGTAAAATATGTCTGAGAAAGAAGAACTTCCAGGAAGCTATATCTCAGGTTAATCTTAAGCATTACATATTATGGGTAATTAATGTTGTCTGTCAATTTTTAAGTTAAAACATATGAATAGGAACATAACACCAGCATTCATCTTATTAAGAAGTAGAAAACATAAAGTGACACAAGTCCATGTGTCCAAATATATTTATAAATGATTCTGACCAACACAAACAAATTTAATTCACTAAGATTTTAGAATTTATTAATCTCAGATGACTAAAACAAATAACTTACCTGCACTAATGGGAAGGGTGATACTGAGATCTGGACTGCAGTATGTAAACCAGGTCTGGTTCAAAGGCAGTGATTTTAGAAATTGGCTGGAAAAGGCCAAGGGTCAGGATCACACCGTCTGAGGGTGGCCACACAGTGCTGCTGTCATCTTTTGGTAAAACATGAAATTGCATTTCTTAGGTGTATACTTTACATACTCTGATTGAAAATATTGGCGGATCATAAATGTTACATTATATGATTGATATTGATTGATGAAATTTGACCGTGAGCCGTAATTGACCCCCGGGACAAACTTTGGGCATGCCTGGCCTAAAACATTAGCTCGTTACATATCATTAGTAACGTTTAGTTTTAACTTCATTAAAAAAGATCGTATTTGATTGCATTATGAGAGCTGTCGTAATACAATCAGGTGACGCTTGAAACAATTTCTGCTATTCAGTCAAAACAGACGAGAGAATAAGCTCTTCCTGCACTAGTCAGACATAGAAATAAATTCAACCACAATTTTGATTTTAAAAATGCTACACTCATAAAAAAGAAAGGAAGGAAAATCATCGAGAGTGACGCCATTGAATATTATCCAAATATTAATCTACGCCCAGTTTTTTCCCAGTATCACCTTTCTACTACTCTCCCAAGCCAACGTACACAACTATATCAAGAAATCAAAAGAAAATGGCTGAATCCGTAAACACAACAATAAAAACAATATTTCTACACGTGAAAGTACTTGACGTAATTTTCAGTTGACAAAGTGAATATAAAAGCGTTTTTTAAATTCTTCTCGTTGCTAAGGACATTTTGTTTGTTGTTAATAGTTACTTCGTTTTCAATAAATTCATTTCGTTTTTGCCTTGAAAAAGTCCACATTGGACGAAACGTGTTGGCTAATAATACAGTTTCCCTGTTGTCTTTTACCTTTATACATATTGTCTTTTTCTACAGGTTAACTCTGGGAAATTTTTCATATATATATATATATATGTGTGTGTGTGTGTGTGTGTGTGTGCGCGCGTGTGCGTGTGTGTAATAACAATATCTATTTTTATATATCAAGAATAATATTGGAGAAATTGTATGACAACGTGGAAAGTTTTAGTCCGATGTCATCCTGAAAGACGAAACGCGTCAAAAGTAAACTTTTCCACTGTGTCATACGATTTCCCCATATATATATATATATATATATATATATATATATATATATAGAGAGAGAGAGAGAGAGAGATGAAATCGCATTTGTGACATTAGCTAACTGAAGATAAAAAGAAATCTGTTTTTGAGACAAATGGTGTCGGTTTATGAAACATGGATAATTTTGCAAAAACTTGGAACACAAGAGATCATGAGGCCAATAAAATGAACAAATATTCAACATACAAGAGTTTATATTCATCCAAAGATGCTGTGTATATGGTATATGAATGTGTGTGTGTGTGTGTGTGTGTGTGTCTGTGTTTTAATGGATTTGTTTGTCTAATCTGACTTCGTTTCTTCTTATGTAAAAGTTATTTTAGTGGGGACACGTTTTTAACAGATATCCCTATTTGTATTTTTTTAAAATTTCCTTAAGCAGTGAAATTTCTGTCAACCGGTCTAGATCGAAAAATGTGGCCCCTGACTGGAATCAAACCAATGTTCATTTTTCCTATCAGTGATAGTGCTACTATAACTGAACCATGCCATTGTCAATTAGAAGATAGGAAACCGTCACTGAGTCTTGTTTTATCATGCTAAAAACAGACACGGCAACTCAAACAAGGTAAGGCTACTAACTAAAGATAACGTTTATAGCATTAACACACACACACTCACACAGAGACACATATATATGATAATATATATATATATATATATGGATAGCGGCTTGGATTGAGGAATCGCAGAGCCGAGTTCGAATTCCAGTCGAATCCATTACATTCACTTACGTGCTAATACCCTTGGGAAAGGTATGAATCCTCTTCATCTCCCCCCAGCTATGGGTAAAATAGCAGGACAGACTGGGTTCTATAGCCTTGGATAGCAACTGGTCTAGGAAGACAACTCTGAATTCAAAACCTGCGGAGGGTCGTTTGGGAACCTTGTGGCATTCGGTGCACCAGGTTTCTGTATTCGTCCCTCCAAAAAGTGTGGCTGGTCCTGCACGAGGCCTTCACCACTATAATCAAATCTCATGTGCCGATGTCGGGATGTCGGTTTCCTGGAAACTTATCGGCCTGACCCTCATACGTCGAACTCGACGGGAGAGTCGATTATATATATATATATATAATAAAATATAGATTTTAAAAATGGTATATTTATGGGTTAAAGTGCTTAATATTAGCGATAGAGCGTATGTAAATATAAAAGTGGACATTAACACACACACATATATATATGATAAAATATAGTTATAACGTATGTTATATTTATGGGTTAAAGTGCTCTATCAGGGATAGAGCATATGCAAATATATAAGTGGTCAACACCTTCGCAGCGATAGACTGTTTCATGCTTAAACGCATTCTTCAGTGTCCTGTTGCAGCTGTGTGTTGACCTCAATGTCCACTTTTATATTTATATATAAAGCAAGTTCCAAAACCAGTTCATCCTTTTCACCTTGCTCCATCGTCATGGCCTTGTGTCAGTATTTGTTTCGTTGCTGAAGTACTTGGTAAGATATGCCAGAAATGTGAAATTCGTTAAGACAAACGAGTTTCTGGTTTGTTTTAACAGCAAAATATGAGCAGCGCTCTTAACTGCGCATGCGCAGATACACACGCAGACGTTCTCAATGGAAAAGTGAAGCACCGACTGCCGATATATATTCAATCAAATTCACACGGAAATCGTGAAGTGGGCGGCGAAGTACGAGGCAGCAAGATCAAAGGCTAAAAGCTGCGAAACACCAGGAGGGTTGGCCTGGGAAGACAAGCTATACGATAATGAACTATTATGCTGAAGTGTTTAACAGAAAATGGTGCGAGAAAGAAAGAAAGAAAGAAAGAAAGAAAGAAAGAAAGAAAGAAAGAAAGAAGCACTGGGGAAAAGAAGTCGCGTCTTGAAAAAAATAACTTAAAAAAGTTGTTAGAAATATCAAGAAAACAAAATGGAATAAGCAGACGAACTGAAAATGTGAAGAAATTCTTTGTGTCAGTAATGAACAATGTGATATCAGAAAAGTTTTCTCTGACACGGAAAAAAAATCACTATTTCGAAATAAGATTATAGCTGTAGTGTGTAGTTGAACGGGAAAGAAGAAAAAGTCAAAAAGAAAGAAGAAAAAGAGTAAGA